TATACGACCGAGCTAGCACTCATACTCATACTAGCAATTTCAATAAGTCAAACCATCCTTGATTTAACTTAGCCGGGATAAAATGAACCGAACTAAGTCTGAACTTAGCATACTGGAACCTTTAACTTTCGACCGAACTAGGTCTCTTGGGGGCTAAGCCAGCTTCTAAGTTTTTAGACCGAACTCAGAAAGTTGCCCTAGAGGCTCACCAGCTCTAACAGAGCCTTCTCTTAACGGAGATAGCGAACTCGCTCGCCATGACCGAGCTATCTAACCCCTGCTCAATCCGAGCAACCAAGCATCTTGTTGAAACCGAGACAGAACTGTAGCATCCCACATAGCCGAAGAAGGACTCCTATTCTTGCTTTATTTATTTGTAGCACGGTCCAATATGATCTGTGCTTAACCCCTTGTGTTTTCCACTTTGCAGACTTAGATTGCCCAGCACTCCACTGCGCGCTCAACCGAGCTACTGAGCACAGTTTTGCGAGCCGAACTAATTTATCTATAACTTAAAAAAATAAATGGGAAGTATAGGTTTTTGGTAGAAAGCCCTGGTGGCTAGCCGAATTCCGAAGGATTACAACTCCCTGACGACGTTCCAACTCATTCTGGCCCGAACAGATATCGTTCCATGGGGAAAAGAGGGCTATGTACCTTTCACCCTCTATCAATAATAGAAAACCGGACTAAGATTCCCCGTTAACCCTTGATTTGTGATTCCTAAGCACAAACCAGAATATGCCCAACTCAGCTTTCCACCAATTCTTACCGTATAATAATGGGAATAGCCAAACTAAACCGCCGAGCCGCTCTTAACCTCGTCTAGCAGAAATATTCCACCAATACTCCATTGGCTCCAAAGATGACGGCTGGGTCTACTACTTAGATACGCCGTCGCAGAGAAAAAATAATAAAAGATACGCCGGATAAAGACTTTAAACGATGACGATTTTTTCTGGTATCTGGGAATTTTGAAGACCACCAAGCCCAGATCCAGGCGAAGTATAAACTGGAAAAAGGAACACCTGGTATATTAATTCGGTTTGTTCACATGCTTTGTTTTTATTTCAGTTACCTGCTCCTGAACCGAACTAACAGTTAGTCTTCTTAATGCAGATTTCAGCCCATCTTCAATCCTTGTAATAGTTACCCCAACTGAACATACTATATTTTTTTATTTAATATATAATTTTAAATTAACAATACTAAAAAAAAAAATTATTTAATATGTAAATTTAATTTTTTAACAACACTAAAAAAATTTAATTTATAAGGCCATAATTTATAATTTATTATTTTTAAATAAATTTAATTTATAATTTATAATTTTTATTTTTCTTTAATATATAATTTTAAATTAATGACAATAAAAAAATAATTTTATTTAATATATAAATTTGATTTTTTAACAACACTAAAAAAATTTAATTTATAAGGCCATAATTTATAATTTATTATTTTTAAATAAATTTAATTTATAATTTATAATTTTTATTTTTCTTTAATATATAATTTTAAATTAATGACAATAAAAAAATAATTTTATTTAATATATAAATTAAATTTTCAACAACACTAAAAAAATTTAATTTATAAGGTCATAATTTATAATTTATTATTTTTAAATAAATTTAATTTATAATTTATAATTTAAATTTTTTATTTAATATATAATTTTAAATTAACAACACTAAAAAAATAATTTATAAATGTTCAAAAGACTATTTTACCATTTTCTAATTGTTTGCTAAGTAATAGCATGGGAGCAGAATAGACATTTCAGAGTCTAATCCCATTGGATACCAATCCCATGAAAATAATCCCACTCACCTCTATGGGATAAGATAGTCCTATATTTGTGGGACTAATAATCCGGGGAGACTATTAGTCCGGAACAAAATTTTCAAACAAACAATAGACTATTAGTCCGGTGAGACTAATAATCCAATCTTACACCATAATTCTTCAAAACAAACACACCCAGATTTGAGTTTGTCTGATCCAATTTGATCAAGAGTTCAGTAGCCATTGTCTATCTCAGGCTTTGGCACAATTTGATTGAGGAAATCCATGTACCTCCTCTTCAACTGAAGGGCCCTGTATGGTAGAGTTGCGGGAAAGTACTTATAGCTTATGCCTAAACAGCTTATAGCTTATAACTATGAACATAAGCTGATTTCTGACTTATAAATTAAGCATCTCCTGCCCCACTCAAAGAATAAGCTGATTTCTGACATCCAAAAAGCTATAAGCTATAAGCTATAAACTAAACCAAACACATCAAAATAGCTTAAATTAAGTTGAAAGCTGAAATAAGTTGCTTTTAAGTTTTGCCAAACAGGCACAAGGACCTCTAATATGTAATTGAAGGCTGCTATTCCATTCAATAGATAAGCAAAGACGGGTAGAAATATTTAATATACCTAGCACCCAAAATTCAAGTGTTTGATTTATCGAGTAATTCAAGATTGCCATTGCAGTCCATAGATGAGCAAAGATGGGTAGAAAATTTTAATATACCTAGCATTTATTTGTACTGATGATGCATTCTTTTATTGAGAAATCTAGTAAACAAAATCTTAGTGGTAGGATCTCATGCCAACTAGTAAAATTCTTGCACTTAAAAATCCTAGTGAAACAATGTGGAAAATTAGAAAGAATTTGAATACAGATGCGTGTTCGAATTACAAAACTGCCTCTTACCTCTCCACTTTTGTGTTGAATTGGCTGATAGTATCTAACAATTCCATTTGGGCCATTATTTAGCATGTAAAAGTTTGTTAGTTGTTGTTTCTGGTTTTTTTGGTAACACATGTCTAGGGGATGAGGGCTATGAATAATGTTACGGACTTGTATTACTACAAAAGAAATTTACTACTATAATGTTATGGATGGATAATATTATGGATTTATGTATCGATGTGAATTACATTTTCATGTTCATCTTACTTTCTTCGTGTTTACAGAAATGGACCCTAGAAACTCAACAAATCTGTTTGATATGGACGCCGCAATAAACAGTCAGTCAAATGAATTTCCCAATTACGACAACATCACGGCGGAGATGGATTCAAGTGGGGAAAGCTTGGAGACCGAGGACAGCGCAGACAGCGAGGACAATCTGGACAGCGCTGATATTGAGGACAGTGAAGACAGTATTGCAGCGCAATTGAGGTTGTCATTTATTGCATCGGACGATGATGCATGGACTTTACCATGGTATGCCAGATGTGGGAATCAACCAATGGAATTCTGGGGAAGCAGCCCCAACGGACATGTCTGTACACTGGAGAAATGTACACTCAACATTTATTGAATGGTCATCCGCGCACAATTCGGGAGGTCTTGCGGATGGATGCACCAACGTTCAGGTCCCTTTGTGATGAATTGAAACGCAGAGAGTTCGTAAAGGTGGACAAGAACAGGTTATCTACAGAGCAATCACTTGCTATACTTTTATATGTATGTGGACATAGTGAAAGACATAGACTTGCGGCTGATCGTTTTCAACACTCAACGGAAACCATTCACCGACATTTCAAAATTATGATGAGAGCATTGTGTCGTCTTGCTGTCCTTATCATTCGACCTCCTGACCCGAATGTTATTCCTCCTGAAATTCGAAACAACCCGAAGCGTTACCCATGGTTTAAGGTTAGCTTGGGATCCCTTGTTTGTTTGCAATTTTATGACGAGTATGCAATGAAATTTGGGTGCAGACAAATGTAATAATTATCATATTTGCGTAATATAGGACTGTATTGGGGCAATCGATGGTACGCACATTGCGGAGCATGCACCTGCTTCAAAGAGAACTGCATATCGTGGTAGGAAGGTTGCACTAACACAAAACGTTCTTGCAACATGCTCATTTGACCTCAAATTTACTTTTGCTTATCCCGGTTGGGAAGGTAGTGCAATTGATTCACGAGTGTTATCTGATGCGCTTACACGCCCCGATGTATCCTTCTCGCTTCCTCCTACAGGTAAGGGTTTTGGTTTGTAATGGCAACGCTTTTAAAAGTTTACTTGAAAATTGTTTCTAATAAACTTGTGTTAATGTGACATACTCATGTAGGTAAATATTACTTGGTCGATGCGGGTTTCACAAATATGACGGGATTCCTCGCACCATATCGTTCAGAAAGCTATCATTTGGACCAATTTCGTGGATGTCGACATGTCCAAATGGGTATAAGGAGTTGTTTAATTATCGGCATTCATCACTAACAAATGTGATAGAACGAAGCTTTGGGGTGTTGAAGAATTGTTTTCCTATATTGAGATCTATGCCGAACTACATGCAAGTGTGACAAGGCACAATAGTTACAGCATGTTGTGCTTGTCACAATTGGATTCGCGTGCACTCTGCAAATGATACATGGTTCAATAGGCGGGGTAGTGCACGTGCGGGGCAAGCAGCACCCGCAACTCCTGCGGCACGAATTTCCAATGAAGCAGATGAAGTCATGAATGAAATGGTTCAACTTCGTGATGAAATTGCGATAGCAATGTGGAACAACCATAGGGTTCATCCATAGTACCACATTAAACTTGTCATTTGCATTGTTCAGTTGGATAATCTTTGGTGGTTAGAATTATGTAAGACCTATGAAGTTTGTTTGACTTATGTGTTGCGGTAGAACATATGGATATATGTAATGACCCTTGTTGATGTTAGTGCACCGAATATTGTATGGATGCTTGCATTGCCTTAGTAAGTTGTCAACTTCTCTTATATGAATTTCGGTTATGAATGTTTAGATTTAAAATTTGTTTGACATTTTCATAATCTTAGATTTAAAATTTGTTTGACATTTTCATAATCTTAGCAGGAAAAAAATTCACACATGTTCCTTTATGCATTTTCTGTTATGAATGTTTAGTATAAAATTTGAATATGGATATTGGCTTTGGTAACAAAAGGTGTGTATTGTCCCACCCAAACATCTTATATTTGCTTGTTTATTTTTTTCCCTAATCTGTTTGTCTCTCTGTCTATCATCCATGGAAATACTATGGTACATATAGGTACATTTTTCTTTTTTTATTATTTACACAGACAACCCAGAACTATTTTTCAGATAATTTAAATTTCATGGAAATTCAACGATTTTGAAAATAAATATAAACATAAATATATGATGTTTTAAATCGTAAATTTGAAAAAAAAATTATGATTTCATAAATAAATTTACACATCAATTCACATTTTTTTAATGTCAATTTAAAATAATTGGGCGTTTTTCTGAAATTATGGTTTTCGGAAATTTGTACATAAATTAACTGTGTTTTTTGTAAACTTGTATAAATTTACGCTTTTTGGAAATTTGTATAAATTTACCATTTTTGCAAATTTGTAAATAAATTTTGGTTATTTTGAAATTTTTTACATAAATTTGCCAAGCGTACGATTTTGTGAATACAAATTTATGATTTCATTTTGTGCATAACATTTAGGAAAATTTGATTATACGAAATAAATTTTTTAATGCCAATTTAAAAAAAAAAATTATGTTTTCTATGGTTGCAATGAGTGGAAATTTTATAAAAAAATGATACACACTACAAGAAAATGCACTTTTGGCGACTAAAGTTTTAGTCGCCAAAAGTATAGTTTTTAGTCGCCGAAGCCTTTTCCCGACTAAATATTTTGGTCGCTAGATTTGTCGCGGGAAAAAGGTCGGGGAAGGTTTTGGCGACTAAAAAAAATTTAGTCGCCAAAAGTCTATAAATGGCTACTAATGTTTTAGTAGGGAAAAGTACGAGGTATTGGCGACTAAATTTTTTTAGTAGCCAAAAGTCATAAATTGGCGACTAAATATTTAGTCGTCAAAAATTTTCAAATAAAATTAATTTTCATTTTCAGCGACTAAAACTTTTAGTCGCCCAAAGTATCATTTATTATTAGCTACTAAATATTTAGTAGCCAAAAAAAATTAATTTTCATATTTTTTTTAACTACTAAACTATTTAGTCGCCTAAAGTCTCATATATTTTTTACTACTAAATTTTCAGTCGCCAAAAAATCTTTGGTTTGTTTTTGGCTACTAAATTTTTAGTAGCTAACAAGTTTTATTTATTTTTTTGGCTATTAAACATTTAGTCACCAAAAACTTTATTCTGTGTTATTTTTTTAATTTTTATTATTATTAATTTCTGCACAACCTGTATTTATTTCGTGTAACCTGCACCCTGTATATAAACAAAACAATACATATGTCTATTTCTATTTCACTTTCAACCATCTAAAAATTTGGTCATGTAACATCAAATTTTATACAAACCAAATATAATCCAACCCAAAATAATAATTCCATACAAACAGATAATCATACAAAAATGATGTCCTCCGTATACAAAAAAGAAATATCCACTAGTAATCTATACCACCAGAAAATAACTTCATCTCTGTTGGATCAATAACTATTGCAGTAATTGGTAGTGGAAAAGCTCGAGTTTGTAAAAGTCTTCCAGTAACAAGGTCCCATACCTACTGAGAGGGTAATTTTTGGTGAAAATTAGGCCGAGCTATGAGATGGACTTTATGGCCCAAAGTATGACGAACTGGGTAAAAAGGGCCGAGAAGTTACTCTGGCCCGAGAGAGATAAATTACTTCGGTCAAAAGAGATGAAGTTACTTCGGCTCAGGAATTGTAAAGCTACTTCGGTTTGGACAACTTGGAGTTAGTCCGGTCTCCGAGTTAGTCCGGTCATGGCGTATTCTGGATAGATCGGTCAAGGCCTTGCTACTCGGTAGCTCGGTCCCAACATATCATGGTTCATACATGGGAGAACCGAGATAAGGAGTAAAAGGAAGGGCCGAACTAAGGATAGTTCGGCCTACCTTGTGGCTCAGCTTAGCCAGTTTACTTCGGGCAAATGGTAGTTCAGCCATGGTGAAAACCATCCCACTTGGTTTAAGCAGTTGGGGGGGGGGGTGTAAAAGGATAAGCATTATCCTTTAGGAGTATGAATCCTAGGAGGACTCTGCATGGAGAAATAAAAGTCCTACTAGGATTGTGCCACTCGAAACTTATAAAAGCTCACAAGCATCGCCTTGGAGGAGGTAATATAACACAACATACAATTTTGCTTCCTGAATACATTGAGCTTTGTCTATTTGTCAAGTTTTCTGACTTAGGCATCGGAGAGGTTTCCGGTACACACCCGCCGGCTAGCTCACGTTTGTGTTTTCAGGTGACAAAACGACATCGTACGAAGGAGCGTGGACTTAGTCAACAGGATTATACGAGGAGAATTATTTCTTCCCCGTACAATTGGCGCCGTCTGTGGGAAATACAGACAGAACAAAACCTCTTGATTAAAGCTTCTCCCCTTTACGATCAATGGCACACATTGAAGAATTGCCGCAGTCCGCCGTCGACGGGCTAACTCCAGAAGGGGGCGCAAGGCGTGAAGGATTACCTTCTGTCCCTCCCATGGCGGACTTAGAGCCCCAACGACATAGCTCCAGGAGGGATACTAGGGGAAGGCGAAATAACAGCTCTTGTTCACAAAGCCCTGACAGACAAAGACGGAGGATTGACCCTCAAGCTCTGGAAGATCGCGTGAAAGAGCAAGATGAATTGATAAGAAAGATGGCGGCGGACATGGAGGCCTTGAAACGCCAGATGAAGAAAAAAGAAGTGGCGACAGGAGAGGGGCGCAAAAACAAGACGCCCTTTCGCCACTCAGAAAAACGTAGCAGGAATACTACGCCCTCACGAGGAGAGAGTAGAAGCCTCAGGACAGGCGATACTCAATCATGGTCTTCCAGAACTCGTCGCTCCAGGTCTGAGAGGACGAAGTCTGAAAGATCATACACTGAAGGAAGCACATACTGGCCCTCTCATTCACATCAGACTGGATCTAGACAGACGGAATTACCCAGATCATCCGACTTACGAACCGTGCTCGAAGAGAAAGCACGATGCAAGGAGGATGCCAGGGCAAGGGTTCCACATAGAGTTTCAGCTTTACAGCGGTTGGCTTCTCGGACGCATGGAAGCGTCGAGGTTGGAATGCCAATACCGTGCCCTACCTATGAACCGACGGACAAGGCATTAGCAAGGCTGCAGACTTCGCCGTTTGTTCCAGCAATCGAAAACGCACCCCTACCATCAGGCTTCCTTCAGCCGAAATTCACTACATATGAAGGGAAGACGGATCCCTACTCACACTTAAGCCATTTTCGCCAAGTCATGGTTGTATACAGGCGAAACGAGGCCTTAATGTGCATACTCTTCCCATCAAGTCTTGGCGACCTCGGCTTGACTTGGTTCGAGAAACTTCCAAAGGGCAGCATAGCCTCTTGGGCGTAATTGGCAGAGGCGTTCGTAACAAGGTTCCGAACGAACACTAAAACCCCAGTGGAGATTGACCAATTACTCTCCATTGACATGGGCGATAAAGAGACCCTAAGATCCTATAATAGTCGCTACTGGGAGACATTCAATCAGATTGGGGACTGCCCTACCAATCTCGCCATTGCACAGTATAAAAGAGGCCTTCCAATTGGGAATAGACTAAGGGACTCAATCACCATGACGCCGCCCCTCACCATGGAAGCCTTGATGGAAAGAGTACATCAGCACATCAGGGTAGAAAAGGATGGCGCACGTGCCAAAGCAAAATCTAGGGCGACCACAATACCAGAAAAGAAGACCTCAGCAAAGGTTAATACGGTAGATCGACCGAACAGAAACGGACGTGGCAGACGAGATAACAGAGAAGACCCGGATCAAAGATGGTTGAGAATCCGCACTGCCATAACCACGGTGTTCAAGAAACCGATATATCGGATTCTAAGTGAGATAAGAGATGAGCCTTTCGTCAAGTGGCCAGCCAAGCTAGGAGAAACTCAGAAGGACTATGACGAGAGATCACGGTGCACCTTCCACAAAGAAAAAGGGCACCGCACTGAGAATTGCACACCATTGAGACAACACTTGGAGGAATTGGTGGCAGCAGGCCACTTGGATAAGTACATCGAAGGAGGAACGCAGCCAGCCTCCCAGGACCATAATAACCCCAATGGGATGCCAATCGACGCCCCACCTCAAGGCATTATCAATGTGATACATGGAGTCTTTGAACCTGAGCGTGTATGCGAACTCTATATTGAATTGAATGACCAGGTAAGTCTCGGAGTTGGTAAGGAGAACCCCATTCAATCAAGGAAACTATGTT